GAAAAGTTTGAAAACACTGACAAAAAAAACAAGTGGACGCAATCCTGGTGCCGTAACTATGGTGAAAATGCTGGCAAAAAATACATTTTTCGTTTTATTCGCTACGCTCAGCCAACGAAAAATAACACTTTTTGCCAGCTAGCTGGCCTCTGCGTACACCGCAGACACACCCACACACAACAGAAAGATACAGATCACAGTAGTAGTGTGGTCTTTGTTCACTCACGACGGAAAGGATAGCCGACCCGATAGTCACTTGTGTAGTGTAGCGCGAGACACCGACAGCAGGTCCTTGAGGGAATCCTCCACATACATGTTCTTACATGTGGATGACTTCCAACCCCCCTTGCCGCTGAAGAAGGCGCTCTGGCACGCCAGCATTGGCCGCTGCCGTCGCTCCCCCAGAGCGGAGACTGTGCGTGCCATACCCTGTGGGGTCTTCACCTACGCGGGCGAGAGCTGTGTGAATCAATTCGCGCACCCGGGCGTATGTCATCTTTTCCCGCAGACATGACTGGTGGGTTGCTGCGGAGACCTTGCCAAAGAGAGGTTGAGTGGGTACATGCCGTGCTCTCTCCAAGAAACCCTCTATGACCGACACAGGACATGGTTTAGTAGCCTGCTGCTCCAGTCGGCTCACCATGACCACATCGCCCTGGCGCAACTGGTCGTTCTTGCGTTGCCACAGGTGGAGGGACATGTGCGTGCCGCAAATGGAGATATCCTGAGGCGGGAGGCGTTGTAAATCGTCCCAGCGAAGCAGAGCAGTGAAGCCGAGGACAAACAACGCTGCGGTTTGCCAGTCCTGCAACGGGGCGGTAGGGATAGCCAGTGTGGCGACGACCTTGTTGAACACCACCGACCTGAAAGGTGAGCGGCGATTGATTGGTCGGGCACAAATACGTCTTGCAGCAGTGAGCAATTGTCTCACCACGCTATGTTGTGTGGGATCCTGGCAATCGGCCTTACAATGCACCCAGTGCAATGCCGCCACAAATTGGTTTATTGACCCCATGGTACACTCTGACTACAATAACTTCATGATGTATAAGCTCATGCTGGTGAGTGCCGCTGGGAATGACGTAACTTAACACGGTATAAGCACACGCTGGTGAGTGCCGCTGGGAATGACGTAACTTAACACGGTATAAGCACACGCTGGTGAGTGCCGCTGGGAATGACGTAACTTGACACGGTATAAGCACACGCTGGTGAGTGCCGCTGGAAATGACGTAACTTGACATGGTATAAGCACACGCTGGTGAGTGCCGCTGGAAATGACGTAACTTGACACGGTATAAGCACACGCTGGTGAGTGCCGCTGGAAATGACGTAACTTGACACGGTATAAGCACACGCTGGTGAGTGCCGCTGGAAATGACGTAACTTGACACCGTACGGCCCACTTTTCCCATCGGTGTAACGCGCGCTGGTACGCAGACGCAGTGGAGCTAGCAACATCCTTCCAAATCACTGTCCTTAGCAGGTCCGCCAGAGGTTTCAGGGACGGTTGTGTCACAGCGTCCACCCGACCCAGAACTCGGATGGGCCTGACAAGAATGACACACGGAGAAGCAAAAATAGGCAAAAACACGCAACCCAGTCAGCAAAAACACAACAACAACAACAACAACAACAACAACAACAACAACAACAACAACAACCATGGGTCCTCATTAATGGCCACCGTAAACGGGTCCCATGCATGATAGCAGCTCATTCCGTAGGCTTCCGAGCCACAAGCAAACCCGACCCCGCAGACAACAGCATCCCGTAGCACATTGTCCCCTTGGGCAAACACATGCACAACCTACCCACTAAGTGGGGATGACCAACCCGCTCCCAGGGAGCTCCAGGCCTGCCTCTCATTGGCATGCAGATAACCCAGTGTCCTGTCGCACATTGTCCCCTTGGGAAAACACATGCACAACCTGCCCACCAGGTGGGAATGACACACACGCTCCCAGGGAGCTCACGCTCTGCCTCCCATAGGCATGCAGATCACCAAGTGTTGCACGCCTTTGCTCCCAGGGAGCCTCACACACAAATGCATGCCCTCCATAGACTGTAGTGACAGCACTCTGCTAGCACTCATTTGCGCATAGGATCAAGCCCAGCCCATATAAATCTACACCATTACTTTCCAAGACAAGAAAAAAGTCCAATAAATATGTCTCCTCCAAGGCCAGGGAACACTAACAACAAAACAAAAACAAAAATATAGGGAACAAAATAGACCAAAGAACAAGAAACGGGAAACGAGAGACAGACCAAATAAGGTAGAAGCAAGAATGTGCAGCATGCTACTAGAAGACTAAGCTGGCACAACATACCATCCTATGGCAAGATTGATTCTCTGGACGTGTCAGACAGACAGGGTCAGTGTTTGAGATGGCCAACGTTCATGGGTTATGCGCCCGGCATGACGTCATCGAGCAGACCTGCATGAAGACAAATTGGAAAAGGCGGCACGTCTGGACCAAACAGGCATGTTGGTTTGGACACATGCTGGAAAGCACCAAACGGCATAGACACGATTTCCGAGTCCGTAGCGAGATGACAAGGGCCATTTTCCGGCATCCACACAGGCCACCACGGGGCCGACGGCCAGAATGGGAATGCCACTACAGCGTGGCATGGTACATTGGCGAGGAACGCATAAAGGTCACCCAGCAGCGCCGGCGGTGGTAGACACCAGTTGACCTCACCTTCCCAGGCTTGGGTGAAACAGTCCACAGCTTCGCACCCTGGTGACCACCACTTGGAGTTGAAGCGGGGTGGTTGCGCTGATAGGTGGCTTGCAAAGCGACCCACCGTCAAGGGGCCCCATTTGGCGTTAAAATGGCGAAATAAAGATGGCTCCAACTGCCAGTCATTATCATCAATATTTCTCGACAAGTGATCCGCTGTGACATTGAGGTCCTTCGGGACCCACTGCGCAAACAGACGTGCCTTAATCGTGGTGGAAAACCGAAATATAGCAACAACTTGTTCCTGCAACTCAACCTTGCCGCTACCGTTACACAGGATCCTGACTACATTCTGGTTGTCAGTGTTGATGCAGATCTGGCAATGTGAGTGCGAAGTGAGACCAAAGTGTACCGGACTGCGAGGAGTTCCCGCAAAGTGGAGCTACTGGTCCTGGCACTAGAGTGAAATGGCCATTCGCCTCGGGCAACCGCAACACCATCATGTAAACAGAACCCACCCCAGCCTGTTTCCCTGGCATCTGACCATGTCAGAGATATGATGCGCGGCCTGCAGGGCCAGATGGGCTGTCCATGGAAACTGTGAAAATGTTGCCGCCAAAATGCAATCTCTGCCTTGACCAATGGCGTAATAGTAGTGTAGGCGTTCCAAGTCTCCAAGACTCGGCAGAAACATCAGCGATCAGTGTGTGTAGTGAACGAGTTTGGAGACGCGAGATGCTACCGAGTGCCATCCACATCGATACAATGGATCCTGCCAGTCTCGCCAGGTAACTAACCGGAATCCGCTCAGATGAACCATGCAGCCGCTCAAGAATCGCTAGTAATCTGTCAACCCTGGTTGGGGAGGCACGGATCCAGTTCTCTGTACTGTCAACTATGTGACCGAGCGTTTCGATTCTTTGCTTAGGGTGAAAGTCACTCTTAGATTCATTTACCTACCAACCCGCACATGTTAGGTCTACCCGGACAATGTCAACCATCTGACGGGCTGCCACTAGCGGAGATGCATCGCCCGTACCATCATCCAAAAACATGAATATTCTGAGACCCTTGCTGCGCCAATGGGCAACAAGTGGTCGCAGGACCTTAGTGAACACAAACGGGGCTGGTTTCAGACCAAACGGTAAAGCAGCAAACCGGAAATATCGAACAGTGCCATCAAGAGGCCAAGAAAAACCAAGGTATTTCCTATGAGCTTCGGCCACCGAGATATGGTGATACCCATCTTTCAAGTCAATTGTGAACATAAAGCACTTGGACTGAAATAACTGGGGAATGACACGAAGATTTTCAAACGAGAAATGCATATCAGCTAGGAATTGATTAACATACCGCAGATCTAATATTAGGCGCAGCTTCCCATTTTTCTTTGGAAGCACACCCAAAGGACTGACCACAACTAAGCTGGCCAGTGGGGCTTCCTCAACGGCACCCGAAAAATATAACCACACTCAATAATCTTCAATACAAACTCTGACGCACCAATACCACGCCAAAAACTAACACATGGCTTAAGCCGCCCGTGCACACTTATCTTATTGTGGGTGCTGGGCTGGCATGAGGGCTGCTGCCGCTGGTGAAGCACTAAACATGCTGGGGCCACGGAATGGCCCATTGGCTGCTCCACCAAATCACGGTTGGTGACGCCATGGACCACGCTGCTGGCTGGGGCATACTCTGGCCATGTGACCCACCTGCCCACAGGCATAGCAGGTGACTCCCGCAGAGCCCAGAACTATGCCTCCGTCTCCGAACGCCCCGAAGCCAATGTTTCTTCGGCCGAACTGTGCAGGCGGCCGCGACATATACTGCTGGCTGGGGGTGCGAAAATTACGCTGCTGATGCTCCCGCGTGCTATCAGGACGTGCTGCTGTCCGCCGTGCTGTTGTAGCCGCCTCAGCAATCCTCTTGTCATCTGCCAACCCCTTCACCCAGCACACCGTTTTCATATACTTCGACTGTTTTCCAATCGTAAGCGTCCGCAATCCGGAGATGCTTCTGGCGGAGGGTCAGGGTCGCCTTACTTTTTGCTAGGTATGCAGCCGCGTCATGACCTGATGGCAGTTGAGTGAGCGCTCCCTCCACGCCATCGAGCACAGTTTGTATTACGTCGAATTGTTTTTGCAGGCCAGCTTGCTTCAGCGTGACCTGGTTCGACTTGGAGGCTGCCAGCTCATCCCGCGTAGCCCTCGTCTCTCTCTCTTGACATCCTGGATCTCCTCTGACAGCTGTCCGAAGGCCTGCGCGAACCAAGCTGGCGGGGAGCCGGCAACCTCCAGGGAATCCACCATGACAGGATCCGGAGCAGGTCTTGCTCCTCGACGTTGCCAGCACGGATACACTTTCGGGCCGTGCCCACAGCTCCAGGTGAGGCGGACCGGGTCCGCTTTTTTTCTGGGTGGAACTGGGATTTGAACCAGGGGTGCAAGCGAAACGCTTGCCAGCGAGTTTTTACTTCTCGTTTGTGGCATGGTCAAACTCTTCCACGGACGAACAAAAATTCAAGCTAAAAGAGAAAAAGAGAAGGACCACGATGAAGAGAAAAGTTTGAGAACACTGAGAAAAAACAAACTTTGGCTCAAAAAGAATGCAAACTAATCAATCTCGCACCCAGCACTAAAGCATGTATTGGGGTTTTCCAGCTTTAGTTTGTAAACAGTTTGTCAATTGACTTATCACAATGTTGTGCGTGAGACTGCCTCACTTCGTAGTGGATTGTGCATCATACCCTATATAAATACTTTTCTGATGGATAACGCATTAGAATGTCTGGTCATGTGTGCTACCTGTACACAGGATGGTAGTCTTCCTGTTTATTGCGCTGCCGCAAATGGGCATCTGGAACTCGTCAAGTATCTACTAGATCTCCAACCCGAAACGATCTCTGTGAATGGCTATGTAAGTTAAGCAATCTCCATCATTGACTCTCCTTGCTGTAGTCAGTTACTCCTACAGCACTCTTCTTGCCAATCAAGACTACTGTGCTAGCTATATGTCAATTGCTGGGGAGTATCAGGCCGAAACAGCAACCCCACCGATTGATTTACTCCAAAAGTACCTGTGAATATTGGTGACTTTCCTGGCCGGCACTGATAGCTGCACAAAGCACCTCCATTGTGCATTTGGTTCACATAAACATTGGTTATGATTAAGAAAGGAAAAGTACAAAATGTTACGAGTTATGGCAAACTATCCACCAATGTAACCAGATCTTATACAGTCAGCGAGTGCGACAAAATGGCACAAAACTGACAAGGAGTACTGAGGCATTCGGCGACCTGACACCTAGCTTTTCCTTTCTTCATCATAACATTATTGGCTCACCATACGAGTTCAAATAAACATTGGTCTCAATCATTTCTGATGTGACCTCATGGACACACTCATCATCAATTCGACACCCATCAACAGGAATGTTTCTGTGTGAGCAGAGATGTCCACAAATGATTCAAAAGAGTTCTTAGTATTGTATACTTGCGCCCATCATATGCCCCTCAACCCACGAGAGGAATATTACAATATTACTTTGGCTCAAAAAGAATGCAAACTAATCAATCTCGTACCCAGCACTAAAGCATGTATTGGGGCTTTCCAGCACTAGTTTGTAAACAGTTTGTCAATTGACTTATCACAATGTTGTGCGTGTGACTGCCTCACTTCGTAGTGGATTGTGCATTATACCCAATATAAGTACTTTTCTGATAGATAACGTATAGGAATGTCTGGTTATGTGTGTTACCTGTACACAGAACGGTAACCTTCCTGTTCATGGCGCTGCCTTTGAAGGGCATCTGGAACTCGTCAAGTATCTACTAGATCTCCAACCCGACACAATCTCTGCAAAGAACGATGTAAGTTGAGCAATGTCTATCGTTGATACCCCTTAAGCATTTTTTCCAGAACACGGTTTGAGCAATATATGCAACAAATAACATCTAGTCACTCGCGCCAGGCCAGAGCAACAGACCTTAACCTTACGGATTCCACCATTGGCCAGTAGAGCAGACCATGGCACACCAAGCACTCTTGGGTCCATACAATGGCCCTCCCTACATACTAAAGTGATGTAAATATATTTCCTGGTGTATGTGTGTTTGTGTGTGTGGGGGGGGGGGGGGGGGGGCGTGCATGCGTGCGTGCGTGAGTGCGTGTGTGCATACAGCAAGGAAAACCAACTGTCTTAGTCGTTCTATGCTGATGTACTTCGTGTTGTGCAGACCACGTGTGCATTGTTGGTCGATTCTCATAACTTCACAGGTTGTATTGATTACAGTCCATTCGGAAAAAGTTGAGCGCTGGCTCTGGAGAGCTCCCGTATTGGGCGATTTTGTGGTACACTGTGCAATGCCGCGATATTCGAAACTTGAAAAAGGGTCCAAAAAAGGTACCGCAACTGGGTTTCGAACCGGAAATGTACTGTTATGCAAGTGGAGTGAACGGCCTGCATTTTCATGGTTTTTCCCCAATTCAGTGCTTTGGGGGCAAAACCTGGCCGAAATCCTTTTCTTGTTATGGCTAACTCTTTGGAAAACTAGACTTCAAAAGCACAATTGGAAGAGAATTCCATGGGGGACTGCCTAAATAAATAAGACGGAAACTTAAAATTTGACCCATTTATGGCCAGAAGCTAGGATATCATTCTTTTCTGAATGGACTGTAGGCTGATATCTGGCACTAGTCTTGATCTGTCTTATTCAGATCTTGTCCACTATCGTTGCTATCGTTTGCGTGCTTCTTTTGTGACGGGAGTACACATGGTACACGGTGTGTATGCGTGTACATGTATGTGTATGTGTTGGGGGAGGGGGAGGGGGAGGGGGGAGGGGGTGTATGTGCATGTTTGTGTGTACATGTATATATTAGGGCTGAAACGATTATATCGGTTATCCGTATAATTGATCATAAAGCAGGATTCACAGAAGCATTTTGCGTTGTGACACACGATGCGACGGTTGCGAAACTGGGAAATCCCCAAATCGCAGCCAACTCGCAGCCCATTTAACTGCCGCAACTGGGCCATCGCAGAAGTTGAGCTCGGCTCAACTTTTGCGATGCGACAAACGATTTGGCGTACGATTTTGACCTTTTCTACAGCAAAGTTGTACAAAGATTCAAGAGTTGCCCGAAAACTTGTACAAGTTGTACCAAACCGCGTGAATACCATGGTGGCGTACCTGCCTGCATTGAACTTCGCGCCAAATCAGCAAGGTATCATCGCTTCGGGGACTTCGCCTGTGAATGTTATTTCGTGAGTTTGCATCGCACGTCTCCGTCGCAAATTGCGTCGCATCGCCAATCGCATAGCAAAAAAGCTTCTTTGAATCCCCCTTACAACGAAGCGACTTCGATTATGCTGTCTATTTCGATAATGCGATTCTAAAAAAATAAAAAAATAAAAGGAATAAAAATCGTGTAAAAGATGTCATGCACATGACTGTACTACGTAGTAGTAGGATCCGATAATGTTACGTACATAAGTCACCAGAGGATGTACCCAGTGTGCTGACGGTGCTCAACACCACGAAAACAGAGCGTTTTTTTGCCAGCTAGCTGGCCTCTGCGTACACCGCAGACACACCCACACACAACAGAAAGATACAGATCACAGTAGTAGTGTGGTATTTGTTCACTCACGATGATAGTTGTGTGTAGTAGTGTGGTCTTTGTTCACTCACGGTGGAAGATGGAAGAGCGTAGTGTATAGATGAGCATGAAGAAGGTTAAGGGCATGCCACCTCACGCATATACATGTACACGTATGTACCAGACCAACATGATGCAAGAAGTGAACCACTGTGGCGAATGGGGCCGCCGGATAATTGACCAGCCCGAAGCTGGCGGAAAAAACCTCAGGACCCCGGCGGAGGCACATCCCTGAGGAAAACCGGTTAGAACAACCCCATAAGATAAACGAACCAAACGTAGCCTGCAGGACCTATCCCGAAGTGAGAATAAACGGGAGGGCGGGTGGTAAACTACAACGAAAAGAGAAAGACCACGATGAAGAGAAAAGTTTGAGAACACTGACAAAAAAACCAGCTGACGCAATCCTGGTGCCGTAACTATGGTGAAAATGCTGGCAAAAAATACATTTTTCGTTTTATTCGCTACGCTCAGCCAACGAAAAATAACACTTTTTGCCAGCTAGCTGGCCTCTGCGTACACCGCAGACACACCCACACACAACATAAAGATACAGATCACAGTAGTAGTGTGGTCTTTGTTCACTCACGACGGAAAGGATAGCCGACCCGATAATCACTTGTGTAGTGTAGCGCGAGACACCGACAGCAGGTCCTTGAGGGAATCCTCCACATACATGTTCTTACATGTGGATGACTTCCAACCCCCCTTGCCGCTGAAGAAGGCGCTCTGGCACGCCAGCATTGGCCGCTGCCGTCGCTCCCCCAGAGCGGAGACTGTGCGTGCCATACCCTGTGGGGTCTTCACCTACGCGGGCGAGAGCTGTGTGAATCAATTCGCGCGCCCGGGCGTATGTCATCTTTTCCCGCAGACATGACTGGTGGGTTGCTGCGGAGACCTTGCCAAAGAGAGGTTGAGTGGGTACATGCCGTGCTCTCTCCAAGAAACCCTCTATGACCGACACAGGACATGGTTTAGTAGCCTGCTGCTCCAGTCGGCTCACCATGACCACATCGCCCTGGCGCAACTGGTCGTTCTTGCGTTGCCGCAGGTGGAGGGACATGTGCGTGCCGCAAATGGAGATATCCTGAGGCGGGAGGCGTTGTAAATCGTCCCAGCGAAGCAGAGCAGTGAAGCCGAGGACAAACAACGCTGCGGTTTGCCAGTCCTGCAACGGGGCGGTAGGGATAGCCAGTGTGCCGACGACCTTGTTGAACACCACCGACCTCAAAGGTGAGCGGCGATTGATTGGTCGGGCACAAATACGTCTTGCAGCAGTGAGGAATTGTCTCACCACGCTATGTTGTGTTGGATCCTGGCAATCTGCCTTACAATGCACCCAGAGCAATGCCGTCACAAATTGGTTTATTGACCCCATGGTACACTCTGACTACAATAACTTCATGATGTATAAGCCCACGCTGGTGAGTGCCGCCGGGAATGACGTAACTTGACACGATATAAGCACACGCTGGTGAGTGCCGCTGGGAATGACGTAACTTGACACCGTACGGCACACTTTTCCCATTGGTGTAACGCGCGCTGGTACGCAGACGCAGTGGAGCTAGCAACATCCTTCCCAATCACTGTCCTTAGCAGGTCCGCCAGAGGTTTCAGGAACGGTTGTGTCACAGCGTCCACCTCGACCCAGAACGCGGATGGGCCTGACAAGAATGACACACGGAGAAGCAAAAATAGGCAAAAACACGCAACCCAGTCAGCAAAAACACAACAACAACAACAACAACAACAACAACAACAACAACAACCATGGGTCCTCATTAATGGCCACCGTAAACGGGTCCCATGCATGATAGCAGCTCATTCCGTAGGCTTCCGAGCCACAAGCAAACCCGACCCCGCAGACAACAGCATCCCGTAGCACATTGTCCCCTTGGGCAAACACATGCACAACCTACCCACTAAGTGGGGATGACCAACCCGCTCCCAGGGAGCTCCAGGCCTGCCTCTCATTGGCATGCAGATAACCCAGTGTCCTGTCGCACATTGTCCCCTTGGGAAAACACATGCACAACCTGCCCACCAGGTGGGAATGACACACACGCTCCCAGGGAGCTCCAGGCCTGCCTCTCATTGGCATGCAGATAACCCAGTGTCCCGTCGCACATTGTCCCCTTGGGAAAACACATGCACAACCTGCCCACCAGGTGGGAATGACACACACGCTCCCAGGGAGCTCACACTCTGCCTCCCATAGGCATGCAGATCACCAAGTGTTGCACACCTTTGCTCCCAGGGAGCCTCACACACAAATGCATGTCCTCCATAGACTGTAGTGACTGCACTCTGCTAGCACTCATTTGCGCATAGGATCAAGCCCAGCCCATATAAATCTACACCATTACTTTCCAAGACAAGAAAAGTCCAATAAATTAATATGTCTCCTCCAAGGCCAGGGAACACTAACAACAAAACAAAAACAAAAAATATAGGGAACAAAATAGACCAAAGAACAAGAAACGGCAAACGAGAGACAGACCAAATAAGGTAGAAGCAAGAATGTGCAGCATGCTACTAGAAGACTAAGCTGGCACAAGATACCATCCTATGGCAAAATTGATTCTATGGACGTGTCAGACAGAAAGGGTCAGTGTTTGAGATGGCCAACGTTCATGGGTTATGCGCCCGGCATGACATCATCGAGCAGACCTGCATGAAGACAAATTGGAAAGGCGGCGGGTCTGGACCAAACAGGCATGTTGGCTTGGATACATGCTGGAAAGCACCAAACGGCAAGGACACGATTTCCGAGTCCGTAGCGAGATGACAAGGGCCATTTTCCGGCATCCACACAGGCCACCACGGGGCCGACGGCCAGAATGGGAATGCCACTACAGCGTGGCATGGTACATTGGCGAGGAACGCATAAAGGTCACCCAGCAGCGCCGGCGGTGGTAGACACCAGTTGACCTCACCTTCACAGGCTTGGGTGAAACAGTCCACAGCTTCGCACCCTGGTGACCACCACTTGGAGTTGAAGCGGGGTGGTTGCGTTGATAGGTGGGTTGCAAAGCGATCCACCGTCAAGGGGCCCCATTTGGCGTTAAAATGGCGAAATAAAGATGGCTCCAACTGCCAGTCATTATCGTCAATGATTCTCGACAAGTGATCCGCTGTGGCATTGAGGTCCCTCGGGACCCACTGCGCAAACAGACGTGCCTTAATCGTGGTGGAAAACCGAAATATA